AGCTTATATGATTGATTCAGATCTGCCTTCCTTTCTAATATATGCATTCAATGCTATAAATTTCCCACTAAGCACTGCTTTTGTTTCATTCCACAAGTTTTCATAATTTACACTGTCATTTTCATTAAGTTTAAAATATTTTAAAATTTCTCTTGAAACATCTGCTTTAATCCATGCTATTTAGAAATGCATTGTTTGATATCCATATATTTGGGAATTTTCAGTTGTCTCTCTGTTCTTCATTTCTAGTTTAATACCTCACTATGATCTGAGAGAAGACATGGTATAACTTCTGTGATTTTTACATTTATTAAAGTATGTTTAATGGTCCAGAATGTGGGTTAGCTTGTGAATGCTCTCTGTGAGCTTCAGAAGAATGTACACTCTATTGTTGAATAAGTAGTCTATAGATACCAATTATATCCAGCTGATAAATGGTATGCGAGGGCCTTACTGACTTTGTGCCTGTTAGATGTATCCACTATCTACATGAGGGTATTAAAGCCCCCCACTGTGATAGTGAATTCATCTACTTCTTGTAATTCTATTAGTTCTTGTCACATGCAGTCTGACACTCTGTCATTAGGTATATATACATTAAGGATTATTATGTCTTCTTGGAGAACTGACCTCTTTTTCATAATGATAATCTTTATCCCTGATAATCTTCCTTGAAGTCTGCTCTGTCTGAAATTATTATAGCTACTGTTGCTTTCCTTTAGTGTTAGCATGCTATATTTTCCTCTATCCATTTTCTTTTTCTAACACTTTTACTGAAGTATAGTTGATGTATAACATGTTATAGGTGGGCAAGAATCCCTCAGAAGGAATGCAGTAGTCTTCAAAGTCAACAGAAGAGTCCGAAATGCAGTACTTAGGGGTAACCTCAAAAATTACAGAATGATCTTCGTTCATTTCCAAAGTAAACCATTCAACATTACAGTAATCCAAGTCTATGCCCCAACCACTAATGCTGAAGAAGATGAAGTTGAACAGTTTCATGAAGGCCTACAAGTCCTTCTAGAACTAACACCAAAAAAAGATGTCCTTTTCATCACAAGGACTGGAATGTAAAAATAGGAAGCCAAGAGACACCTAGAGTAACACGCAAGTTTGGCCTTGGAATACAAAATGAAGTAGGACAAAGGCTAACAGAGTTTTGCCAAAAGAACACACTGGTCATAGCAAACATCCTCTTCCAACAACATAAGAAATGCCTCTACACATGGCCATCACCAGATGGTCAATATCGAAATCAGATTGATTATGTTCTTTGCAGCCAAAGAAGGAGAAGCCCTAAGCAGTCAGCAAAAACAAAACCTGGAGTTTACTGTGGCTCAGATCATCAGCTCCTTGCTGCAAAATTCGGGCTCAAATTGAAGAAAGCAGGGAAAACCACTAGGCCATTCATGTATGACCTAAATCAAATCCCTTATGATTATACAGTGGAGGTGACAAATAGATTCAAGGGATTAGATCTGGTAGACAAGAATGCCTGAGGAAGTATGGATGGAGGTTCGGAACATTGTTTATAGAAGGTGGTGACCAGAACTATCCCCATGAAAAGAAATGCAAGAAGGCAAAATGATTGTCTGAAGAGGCCATACAAATAACTGGGAAAAGAGCAGTGAAAAGCAAAGGAGAAAGGGAAAGATATACCCAACTGAATGCAAAGTTCCAGAGAATAGTAAGGAGGGAAAAAAAAGCCTTCTTAAATGAACAATGAAAAGAAACAGAGGCAAACAAAAGAAAGACTAGAGATCTCTTCAAGATGGAGATACCAAGGGACCATTTCATGCAAAGATGGGCTCAATAAAAGACAGAAACAGCAAGGAGCTAAGAGAAGCAGAAGACATTAAGAAGAGGTGGCAAGAATACACAGAACTGTACAAAACAGGTCTTAATGACCCGGATAACCACAATGGTGTGGTCACTCACCTAGAGCCAGACATCATGGAGTGTGAGGTCAAGCGGACCTTAGGAAGCATTACTACAAATAAAGCTAGTGGAGGTGATGGAATTCTAGCTGAGCTATTTCAAATCCTAAAAGATGATGCTTTAATAGCACTTTAACAGAGCTTCACTCAATATGCAGGTAAATTTGGAAAACGAAGCAGCGGCCACAGGACTGGAAAAGGTCAATTTCCATTCCAAACCCAAAGAGAAGAGCAACGCCAAAGAATGTTCAAATTATCGTACAGTTGCACTCATTTCACATGCTAGCAAGATTATGCTCAAAATCCTTCAAGCTAGGCTTTATCAGCACGTGAACCAAGAACTTACAGATTGAGGGCAAGAGAAGTGGGTGACAGAGGATGAGATGGTTGGATGGCATCACTGACTCAATGGACATGAGTTTGAGCAAACTCAAGGAGATAGTGAAGGGACAGTGAAGCCTGGAGTGCTGTAGCCCATGGGGTTACAAACAGTTGGACACAACTTAGCAAAGGAACAACAAGAAACACAATATAGTATTTCACAATTTTTAGATGTTATATTCCATTTATAGTTATAAAATATTGGCTATAGTTCCTGTGTTGTATATCTGTGTAGCTTATTTTATATAATATATATTATAGTTTGTATCTCTTAATCCCCTATTCCTATATTGTCCTTCCCTTTTTCCTTTCCCCACTGCTAACCATCAGTTTGTACCCTAAATCTGTGAATCTATTTCTTTTTTGTTACATCCCCTAGTTTGTTGTATCTTTTAGACTCCACAAATAAAGTAATATCATATAGCATTTGTCTTTTGCTAACTTCACTTAGCATATTTTCTAAATCATCCATGTTGTTCCAATTGGAAAAATTTCATTCTTTTTTATGGCTAATAGTCCACTGCGTATATAAACCACATTTTCTTTATCTATTCATTTGTTGATGGACACGTGAGTTGCCTCCATATTTTGGCAATGGTGAATAATGCTGCTATGAACATTGGGGTGCATGTATCTTTTCAAAATAGTGGGGTTTTTTTTCAGACATATACCCAGGAATGGAATTGTTGGATTATATGTTTGTTCTATTTTTAGTTTTTTGAGGACCCTCCATACTATTTTCCACAGTGACTTCACCAATTTACATTCCCACCAACAGCAGATGAAGATTCCCTTTTCTCCACATCCTTGCCAACATTTGTTATTCATGTTCTTTTTGAAGACAGTCATTCTGACAGGTATGAAATAATATCTCCTTATGGTTTTGATGGATTAGCCATGTTGAACATCTTTTCATGTGCCTATTGGCCATCTGCATGTCCTCTTTGGCAAAATGTCTATTCAGGCCTTCTGCACATTTTGTAATCGGGTTGTTTGGGATTTTTTTACGTTGAATTGTATGAGCTGTTTATATATTTTGGATATTAACTCTTTATGGGTCATATCATTTGCCAATATTTTCTCCCATTCAGTGGGCTATCTTTTCACACTGTCAATGGTTTCCCTTACTGTACAAAACCTTTTAAGTTTAATTATGTTCTATTTATTTTTGCTTTTATTTCCTTTGCTTTAGGAGACTGATCCCCCAAAACATTGCTAAAATAAGCAAAGCATCTTTCCTACATCCATATAAGAGCCAAAGGAATCCACACATTGTCTTAAAAAATTTGAGAAGAAACTGGAATCATAACTGGCACTTATATTGAGGATTACAGAGCTTTGATAACATATATCCTATTTATAAGATGCTGTATCATTAAGAGTAACTATACCTTTTAAATGCATGTTTGAAAGTCCATACCTATTATTTAACTCTCTATTCAGAAATCTGAGGCCTTAAAAAAGGTTTATATTTTCATTCACTTCATGAATACCTTGGATTTTCTTCTCTTATAGAAACATTAAGTTATATTGACATGGGAAAGAGTATAGCAAAAATTAGTTTTTTAATGGGACACTTTACCAAACCTGCTATCTTGCCCTAAAACAAAAGACCAGGGAGCTGCACAATAATCCCAGGTTCAGCTCTTGTCCTTTACTTTCTTTCCACCTTGGTTCACATTCCTTTCTGGGACAGACAGCATGTTGTATGTATCTTTGTATAGCACACTGCCTTGTGTCAATTAGATGATTAAATTATAAATTCTACTATTAAAAACTATTTTCACTGATTGGTTTTCTTGATGAAACGTTGAAGAACTATTGTCAAATAAGTACGTTTCAGAGAAGCAAAAGAGAACATTTAGAGCTCTTTCAACTTTCATTTTTACCATAACTCATAATAAGAAATACACTATATACCATAACCATTATATACCTATGAACATATACATTTATCTATTTAATACAAAAGTTATAAGCAAAAACACAACTACCCTCAATACGTCTGATGCTTTTTTTTTCTTTTTATTGTAGTGGTTTTTGTCTTACATTGACATGAATTAGCCATGGATTTGCATGTATTCCCCATCCCGATCCCCCCTCCCGCCTCCCTCTCCACCCGATCCCTCTGGGTCTTCCCAGTGCACCAGGCCCGAGCACTTGTCTCATGCACCCAACCTGGGCTGGTGATCTGTTTCACCCTAGATAATATACATGTTTCAATGCTGTTCTCTTGAAACATCCCACCCTTGCCTTCTCCCACAGAGTCCACAAGTCTGTTCTATACATCTGTGTCTCTTTTTCTGTTTTGCATATAGGGTTATCATTACCATCTTTCTAAATTCCATATATATGTGTTAATATACTGTAATGGTCTTCATCTTTCTGGCTTACTTCACTCAGTATAATGGGATCCAGTTTCATCCATCTCATTAGAACTGATTCAAATGAATTCTTTTTAATGGCTGAGTAATATTCCATGGTGTATATATGTCTGATGCTCTTGTCTATTTTCTATTTTGTTTTTTAAAATGCTGCTAATGACCACTAGAAAATGTTCTAATGGTTTATGATCCATTCTTTAAAAATAATGATTCAGAGAACTATCTTCTAGAAACAAATATGGAAGCAAATAATAAATAAAATAAACTGGAAAAAAGTTTTAAAATAATGCTTACTTACCTGGTTGATGCAAAAACAACACTGAGTGGCATCTGCTGATAAAATGGAAGGAAAGGCCTGGGGAAGAAAGGAAATCACAAACGTGGGACTTCTGCATTGTGTGCTTGCCGAGTTTTCTATTACTTCCAATATTTGTCCCTTAAAATCAGTGAGTTTGAATACTTTGTGTATCAGCAATTCTCGAACTTTGGCACACACAAAATCACTGGGGAGTGGGAAGATTCATGTTTAAAATTCAAAACCACAGGTCTAGCCCAGCAGACTCAGTGGATACAAGGTAGAGCCAATTAATCTGCATCTGTAATAAACATCCCCATGTGTTTGCTGCAGATGGAAAACAAGCCACACCTGAGAAACAGTGCCCTACACTTAGGCTCCAGCTGGTCATTAGTTCCCAGCAGCTTCTCAAGTTCCCTGAGATATTCTGAAATCTCCAATGATTTACTTTAAATATCCCCCCCACCCCGAAAGTCTAGGAACTGAGTATACTATGTAAAGAATTTAACATTTCTCTGAAAAACTCAGCATCATAAAACATCCATAAGGAGGCTGTTCATAAATAATGTGCATTACAAATTTACTTTCTCAAATGAACTTATGTACATATGACATCAAGTCTGTTTTGCTAACTCAGGTAGGACCTAGAAGGAAATCCTCATCTTATTTTTATCTGATCTGAGTGTATGATTATTATACGTGTGTATTCATCATGAACGAAACAAGGTGAATCTTTTGACTATGTTGGTTTTGGTAACATTTACACAAAGACAGCAAATGTCACCTATCTGCCCTCTTTTAACACTTTTCCCTGCACTATAGCTGTCATGGTGTCTTTGCTCTGTCTCACTTTATTTGATGACTTCATTTTGTTCTCAAAGATACATTCTTATTTGCAATTAGTATCTCTAAGCTCAAGCAGACTTAGTTGGAATCCCAGCTCTACACTTGATAATTTATAATAAAGTAACCTTGAGCAATTTACTTCTCCTCTTTTGGTCTCAGCTTCCTAACTGTAAAATGGGGATGATATATCCTATCCTATATTTCTGTTCTGAAAATTGATGTTATATATGTAAAGCACTTATAAAGTGATACCTGGCATACTGCATGACTTAAATATGAGAGCTTCTATCATTATTACAAAGAGGTCTCTGATAACATTAGGGCTCATATTCATCAGTAATTATTTCCTACCTTTCAAAATATTTATAGCGATTCTTTCCAGTAACATCAGGATCTTCATAAACTTCTTTAGGCATCTGAAAAGCAGCATCAATTCTAAAACAAAGCAGGAAAACATTATTCAAGTCAAACATATTATTTCCAAATATAAATATTATTTCATATTCATTCTCAGTTGCTAAATCGTGTCTGATTCTTTGTGATCCCATGGACTATACCCCACGAGGTTCCTCTGTCCATGGAGTTTTCCAGGCAAGAATACTGGAGTGGTTGCCACTTTCTAACCAGGGAATTTTCCCACCCCAGGGATCGAACCCATGTCTCTTGCATCTCCTGCATTGGCAGACAGATTCTTTACCACTAGCACCACCGGGGAAGCCCCTATCTCATATTTGTATATCTATAAAGTAGGAGATACACAGATACACCTGAGACTGAGAGCAAAGTCTTCTATAACATGTCTTACTGTCCTACATCTCAGACTACAACAATTACTTCTCCTGAGCCAGGAAACCAGGAGCCAACAAGAGGAACTGAAAGCTAATAAATGAGTAAAGTTATGAAACTCCACATACAAAAATGCTCATTTTTAGTTAACAGTGCATGAGAATTACAAAATTTTAAAAAACAAATTTTTATGCCTAGGCTGTAAGGTAGCATTTTAAAAGAAATTTACTATGTATGAACTTGTAAACATTCTTTAAACGAATAAGGGATTTGACAGACCTGTCGCTGAAGGTGCTTTGGTTGCAGGTCTCCAAAAAGTATACTTGGATACTAGCAGAAAAGTACACTTGCAATTTCTAAGACAGATCACAGAAACTACAGATGCAGTCACCTTTACCTTTGGTGGTAAGCTATCATGTAATATATACTATAACCTTTGGAGAACACCTATTAGGTTGGTGCAAAAGTAACTGTAGTTTTTGCACTGTTGAACTTAGCCATTTGATACTGGAAATGTGGTTATGTTATACATCATTTTAATGCTCATTTCTTGTTTTATATTTTCTTTTGCTAATGACATCACTTTCTGTTTATTTTATATTTATTTTAGACTGCAGAAATGATGTTAAACGAAAAGTAAATTCAAGCAATTTTCTTATTCAAGTTCAAAATGGGTCATAAAGCAGGGCAGGAAACTAGCAACATTAACAATGCATTTGGCCCAGAACTTGCTAACAAACATATAGTGCAGTGGTGATTAAAGAAGTTTTGCAAAGGATACAAGAGCCTTGAAGATGAGGAGCATAGTGGCAGGTCATCCGGAGTTGACAATGATCAATTGAGAGCCAGCATCGAAACTGATCCTCATACAACTACATAAGTAGCTGCCGAAGAACTCAATGTCAACCTTTCTACAGCCATTTGGCATTTGAAGCAAATTGGAAATGTGAAAAAGCTCGATAACTGTGCTTCATGAACTGACTGCAAATCAAAAAAACCACTGTTTAAAGACCATTACAGTATACTAACACATATATATGGAATTTAGAAAGATGGTAACGATAACCCTATATGCAAAACAGAAAAAGAGACTCCGATGTATAGAACAGACTTGTGGACTCTGGGAGAAGGCGAGGGTGGGATGTTTCAAGAGAACAGCATCGAAACATGTATATTATCTAGGGTGAAACAGATCACCAGCCCAGGTTGGGTGCATGAGACAAGTGCTCGGGGTGGTGCACTGGGAAGACCCAGAGGGATCGGGTGGAGAGGGAGGTGGGAGGGGGGACCGGGATGGGGAATACATGTAAATCCATGGCTAATTCATTTCAATGTATGACAAAAACCACTGCAATGATGTAAAGTAATTAGCCTCCAACTAATAAAAATAAATGAAGAAAAAAAAAAACACTGTTTTGAAATGTCATCTCTTATTCTACATAACACTGAACCACTTCTCGATCGGATTATGACATGTGACAAAAAGTAGATTTTATAAAACAACTGGCAACAACTAGCTCAGTGATTGGACAGAGAAACAGCTCCAAAAACACTTCCCCAAACCAAACGTGCACCAAAAAAAGGTCATGGTCATTGTTTTGGTGATCTGCTGTCTGTCTGATCTATCACATTTTTCTGAATCCCAGCAAAACTATTACATCTGAGAAGTATGCTCAGCAAATCAATGAAATGCACCAAAAACTGCAATACCTGCAGCCACTATTGGCCAGCAGAGTGGACCCAATTCTTCTCCACAATGCCTGACTGCAAGTCACACAACCAGTGCTCCAAAAGTTGAACAAATTGGGCTACAAAGTTTTGCCTCATTTGCCATATTTACCTGATCTCTCACCAACCAACTACCACTTCTTCAAGAATTTCAACAACTTTTTACCAGGAAAACACTTCCACAACCAGCAGAAGGCAGAAAATGCTTTCCAAGAGTTCATCAAATCCTGAAACTTGTATTTTTATGCTACAGGAACAAACCAGCTCATTTCTCCTTGGCAAAGATGTATTGACTGTAATGGTTCCTATTTTGATTAATAAAGATGTGTTTGAGCCTCGTTATAATGATTTAAAATTCACAGTCTGTATAAACCGAGGAAACCAGATCTGAAAGAGACACGTGTACCCCAATGTTCATCGCAGCACTGTTTATAATAGCCAGGACATGGAAGCAACCTAGATGCCCATCAGCAGACGAATGGACAAGAAAACTGTGGTACATATACACAAAGGAATATTACTCAGCCATTAAAAAGAATACATTTGAATCAGTTCTAATGAGATGGATAAAACTGGAGCCCATTATACAGAGTGAAGTAAGCCAGAAAGATAAACACCAATACAGTATACTAATGCATATATATGGAATTTAGAAAAATGGTAACAATAACCCTATATGCAAGACAGAAAAAGAGACACAGATGTATAGAACAGACTTTTGGACTCTATGGGAGAAGGCGAGGGTGGGATGTTTCAAGAGAACAGCATCGAAACATGTATATTATCAAGTGTGAAACAGATCGCCAGTCCAGGTTGGATGCATGAGACAAGCGCTCGGGGCTGGTGCATTGGGAAGACCCAGAGGGATGGGATGGGGAGGGAGGTGGGAGGGGGGTTCAGGATGGGGAACACATGTAAATCCATGGCTGATTCATGTCAATGTGTGGCAAAAACCACTACAATATTGTAAAGTAATTAGCCTACAACTAATAAAAATAATTGGGAAAAAATAAAAATAAATAAATAAAATTCACAGTCTGAAATCACAATTACTTTTGTACCAACCTAATACTAACCAATAAACCTGTAACTGTTGCTCCCGAATCCAGACTGTTTTGGTCAAAGGGGTTAAGAAAGAGAATTTGAGCTCAACTGGTCTAGGTATAACATCACAATTGTACATTTTAAAATAATACAGAATGAATAAACAAAACTTTTTAAGAAGAAAAATGCATTCATCAAACACACGAATAGCAGCTGGAGCTACCTGACACTTACGCAGCAAGTTGCTGGAGGGTTTCTCTGTGCCTTTCCTCATGTCGCTTCCAGTCCCTACTGATGAATGATGGAACAGGATCTGCCTTGCTCCAATAAACAGAATATCTTGGATAATGGAACATGCTGCTGAACATGGTTCTAAACCTGGGAACCCTTCTCTAATGTTAAGATAGAAGGGCAAAGGGAAAAAGGACAAAATTATACTAGATATTCTAAAGTGTTTTACTACTGCAAACTTTTGAAAGGTACAAAACCATCTATATGGCATAGGCTATTGGTATATGTATAGACTGTCTCTAGAAGGATACTGAAGAAACTGATGACAAGGAGTGATTATGTGAAGAGAGCTAAGGGTAGCATTTATTTTATACCATATATGCTTTTGCACTACTGGAATTTTTTCAACACAGGCATCTATTACTTTTCTCATTGAAATAATTTAGGTTAACGTGAGTCCTTTATTCACTATTAGTTAGTTAATCCTCACATTGGGCCACAAGTATTAAAACATCTTGTCCCCTGGTAACAAAGGAATTTCTGCAGAATATAAAATCCAGTGGAGATTTGGTGATTAGAAAATTTGATCAACACAGTTAGCCAAATTAGATGGTTCAGGTACATTAGGCTGCCTTAGCAGATGAAGAAGACCTACCAGTTTGCTTCGAATCATGGTGGCCTGAATATTCGCCTGGTTGTGGTCTTTCTCACTTGATACAATAAACAATGGGTCTGTGAAATAAACAGTAAAGCAGTATAAGGAAGACCACAAATCTAGCACATATCTACTCCCAGGTAGAAAAAAACAGTAAAGAAATGTAATTTCTTAATTGGAAAACAAATTAGAAAATTCAGATATCATCTAACTGCAGCAGCTCATAGCTCTATTACTCACCATCAGTGAGAGTCTGTGAGATGCATGCATTCTCTGTATACTCCAATGTCAGTGAACAGAATCGGAATGCAAAAAGGCGGCTGAACATGTTTTCAAGCACCATAACCTCAACAGGTTCTCTTCTCTCTTATGAACAAACCACCTTCTGGGTCTGGATAGCTCTGGAAATACTCTAAGAGGAAGGACCATGTATACACAGACACTACACCCATTTCCAAGGGAAAGAAACAATAACTTTGGGTACTACCTCCCATCTTCAGTTCACAGGGAAGATACAAACTTAACAGTGTATCACCCAGCGCTGGTAGACAGGGTAAGAAAATGTCATTCGCCAGTAAGAGATAAATAAGGTCAGCTATTTTTAGAATTCACCCCTTAAAATGGAACTAAGTTATTTCCTCCAAGTTCAAATAAGATTGCCCTGTTGCTGTTAAGTATGTGTTTGTTAGGTATACCTTTAAAGTGACAACGAATATTCATGATTGATTTTACTATCACTTAAAAATCAAACAATTTGACATTAAATTCACAAGCAATCTTCATATATAAACTTGATTTCTTAAGTAGATATATCTAGACAAATACCTTGAACTAGTCTAGACATCTTGGTAACGTATGTTTCTCTGCAGAAATTATTAAATTGTTATTGTGATTTAGAATTAAGTCTCTTGAATTTAGATGATTTGTCAATTTCCAGAACTTAATGACTTCCTCAACTAGTTACCCAATTTCAGATGAACAGCACAGTCACAACCATTGAGGACTTCCCTGGTGGTCCAGTGGTTGAAAATCCACCTTCCAACACAGGGGACGTGGGTTCAATCCCTGGTCTGGGAACTAAGATCCCACATGCTGTGGGACAACTGGGCCCGTGAACCACAATTAGAGAAGCCCATGAGCTTCAACTACTGAGGCTGTGGACTGCACATATTGAGCCCACATGTTCTAGAGCCTGTGCTTCACAACAAGAGAAACCCGTGCACCACAGTGAAGACCCAGCTAGCCAAAACAAACAAAACAATCACAACCACTGATCCAATGATACCTTTTAAATCACTTAAAACAGAAGACAAGAGAATACAGAAATTTCACTTTGTCTTATACTATTTCCAACATATTAGTGGTGTTGAAGCTATATTCTCCTGTCTAAATAGGTGCATTCATTCTCGCTTCAAATTCAGTAGCCTATAATTTGAGGGCATAAAATTCGGCCTCTTCATTCCTAATCAGTCCAATTTCCACCACTTCTCAACTTGATATCACTGGGTCAATGGCTGCAATTGTGCTGGTCATCTGAAATTAATTTAACCCACATTTCCCCTAAGTCTGGATAATAAACCATTCTCCTCTTATTCATATTTCCATAAGGAATGTGAAAATGATATCTATAGAAACATTTTTGAATCTACAGACAACAATGACACAATACTGTATGATTTTTGACTATGTATATTTTATGACTATATATGTAGACTATGCATTCTACAACATAGTCTACAGTTCAGTTCAGTCGCTCAGTCATGTCCGACTCTTTGCGACCCCACGGACTGCAGCAAGCCAAGCCTCCCTTGTCCATCACCAACTCCTGGAGTTTACTCGAACTCATGTCCATTGAGTCAGTGATGCCTTCCAACCATCTCATCCTCTGTCGTCCCCTTCTCCTCCCGCCTTCAATCTTTCCCAGAATCAGGGTTCTTTTCAAATGAGTCAGTTCTTCGCATCAGGTGGCCAAAGTATTGGAGTTTCAGCTTCAGCATCAGTCCTTCCAATGAATATTCAGGACTGATTTCCTTTAGGATGGACTAGCTGGATCTCCTTGCAGTTCAAAGGACTCTCAAGAGTCTTCTCCAACACCACAGTTCAAAAGCATCAATTCTTTGGCATTCAGCTTTCTTTATAGTCCAACTCCCACATCCATACATGACTACTGGAAAACTATAGCCTTGACTAGACAGACCTTTGTTCTCAAAGTAATGTATCTGCTTTTTAATATGCTGCCTAGGTTGGTCATAACCTTTCTCCCAAGGAGCAGGCATCTGCTAATTTCATGGCTGCAGTAACCATCTGCAGTGATTTTGGAGCCCCAAAAAATAAAGTCTGTCACTGTCTCCATTGCTTCCCCATCTATTTGTCATGAAGTGATGGGACCAGATGCCATGATCTTAGTTTTCTGAATGCTGAGCTTTAAGCCAACTTTTTCACTCTCCTCTTCACTTTCATCAAGAGGCTCTTTAGTTCTTCTTCACTCTCTGCCATAAGGGTGGTGTCATCTGCATATCTGAGGTTATTGATATTTCTCCCAGCAATCTTGATTCCAGCTTGTGCTTCAACCAGCCCAGAGTTTGTCATGATGTACTCTGCATATAAGTCAACTGAGCATAGTCTACAACTGTGCTCAAAATCAGTGCTCAAAGGGCAGTGGAGAGGCCTCTCAGATGCCCAAGCAATAGTGTGCATGCAATGTCACTTCAATCATGTCTGACTCTTTGTGACCCCATGGACTTTAGCCTGCCAGGCTCCTCTGCCCATGGAATTTTCCAGGCAAGAATACTGGAGTGGATGGCTGATTCATGTCAATGTATGGCAGAAACCACTACAATATTGTAATTAGCCTCCAATTAAAATAAATTAATTAATATTTTAAAAAAAGAACACTGGAGTGGGTTGCCATGCTCTCTTCTGGGGAATCTTCCCAACCAAGGAATCAAACTCACATCTCCAGTGGCACCTGCATTGCAAATGTATTCTTTACCACTGAGCCACGAAGGGAAGCCCCAAGCAATAACAATCATCAGGTTATCACTACTTATTCCTAGACAGTATTGAGTGCTTCGTGTGCAGTATTCCTTTTAATTCTCAAAAAGTTAATGAGGTAAGCACGAGGTCTCCATTTTATAGAAAAGGAAACCAAGGCTTCAAGAAGTCAGCAACCAAGGGGATCAAGATGGTGGAATAAGAGGACAGAGAGCTCACCTCCCCCCCAAAACACATCAAAGATACATCTACATGTAGAACAATTCTCTGTGAAAACTAGCTGGAAACTGGCAGCAGGACTTCTATACAAACAACCAAAACTACAGTAAATAGCTCCATGTAACAGGGTGCTATGTGTGCTGAGTCGCTTCAGTCATGTCCAACTCTTTGCGACCCTATGAACTGTAGCCCACAAGGCTCCTCTGTCCATGGGATTCTCCAGGCATGGAGTGGGTTGCCATGCCCTCCTCCAGTGGATCTTCCTGATCAGGGATCAAACCCACATCTCTTTAAGTCTCCTGCACTGGCAGGTGGATTCTTTACCAGTAGCAACATTTGGGAAGCAAGGTAGGATGCGAAAGAAAAAAAAAAAAGGCATCAGGTTGGGACCTGCATCCCTGGGAGGGATCTGAAAGGAAGAGAAGGTCCACATGGGTGGACCTTCACTCTAGGGAGCAAGTGGGTCAACCCACAATTTTGCCATCCCATTCCTGGGATCCTGCACAGACAAGAAAAACCCCCTCGCCTACTAGGAAATTCACTGAGACAGACAGACTGAAGAAGGCTGGACTCTACTCATAAGGAGTGTATGTGTGCCGGCTCACTAACAGTCAGGGCCAAGAGAGCCACTGGAAGTGGTGGTTGCCACTTTACCGCACTTCCCAACCCAAACAGGCAAATGCCCTGGCCCCCTCAGTCTACACCACAGCCTAATGTGAGATCTGGGCAGAGACTTGGTCTAGCCATGCAGAGACAGGTCGGAGGGCCTGAGGTGTGATCTGGGGGAGTTGCAGACCCCATTATAAATGGGCACACAGTGGGTGGTGGGTCTAGCTGGGCAGATACTGCCAGCATGCATACCTGGTGGCACCATAAGAGGGTGCAGATACTAGTACGCAGCAGTTTATTTCCCAGCAAGAGCACACTGGTTCCACCCACTCCACACCACAATTCAGCACTACATCTGGGGTAGAAAGAGAAGACTGGGAGAAGAGGCATAGAGGCAGCCCAGATCGCAGGTGACAAAGCAGCTCCTGCAGCCACAACCACCTGACCCCCAGTCACCGCACAACGCAGCCCTGCCCTAGATCTGGGATGAATACAACAGAGAAAGGGACATGAATCTGGGCTGCTTCTGAGCACGGATGTCTACACAGGTGAGACACAGGTATCCTGTGACCTCACAGACCTTACTTGCTTCAGGATTCACTTCCCTTGGGGCAGGGTGCACACTCAAGGGCTACAGAGTGTGATCAAACTCAACCCTTAAGCCTTCTACTCAAACAACTGCGGAGTGCACCCCACTCCCAACAGGATAATGACAGCCATGGAGCTAAGAAGAAGCCCTGCCTCACATCCAGCACAGGCTGCAAACACTACAAGCCAACCACACTTCCCACCCAGGGGATAACAACCAGCCCAGCCTGAGGAAAGACATGGCACGCATCCATACCAAAACCAGTGTGCCCACCAAAGGACTGGAGACACAGCGTCTATGCAGGGACAACCCTACATAAAAAAATCCCTTCAAGACCACAGTAGAGAGCGGTTTCTCCTAAATTCAGAGAGATAGGAAAAGGTAAGTAAAATTAAAAAGCATAGAAACTATTTCAAATCAAAAGAACAAAAGAAATGCCCTGAAAGAACAAATAATGAAACAGTCCTCACCAGTCTTTTAGACCTTGAGTTCAAAGAGAAGATAATAAAAATGCTAAAGGAATTAAGAAACATATCAGTAGAAATGCAGATCACTGTAACAAGGAGCTATTAATAGAAACTATAAAGGTGAACCAGTCAAAATTAGACAATTCCATTGCTGAGATAAAAACCAATCTAAAAGCAATGAACAGCAGACTAAAGGACACAGAAGAATGATAAGCGATCTGGAAGACAGAATAGGAAATTACTCAATCAGAACAGTGGAAAGACGAATGAAAAAAGTAAAGGCAACATACAAACTCTATGGGATAATACAAAATGTGCCAACCTACACATAATAGGGGTTCTAGAAGAAGAAAGAGAAAAGGGGATCAAAAAATGTATTTGAGGGACTTCCCTGGTGGTCCAGTGGTTAATACTTTGCCTTTCAATGCAAGGGTGTGGGTTCAACCCCCTGGTCAGGACACTAAGATCCCACAAGCTGCATGACACAGCCAAAAACAATATAAAATAAAACAAGTCCAGCAAACAAAAGTCCAGGACCAGATGGCTTCACAAGTCAATTTCATGAAACATTCAGAGAAAAGTTAACACCTATCCTTCTGAAACTATTCCCAAAAATTGCAGAAGAAAGAACAGTTCCAAACTCATTCCACAAGGCCACCATCAACCTGATACCAAAACCAAACAAAAAATGAAACTGTCACTCAGTCATGTCCAACTCAGCTCCTCTGTCCATGGAATTCTCCAGGCAAGAATACTGGAATGGATAGCCATTCCCTTTTCCAGGGATCTTCCCGACCCAGGGACTGAACCCAGTTCCCCCACACTGCAGAAAGATTCTTTACTGTCTGAGCCACCAGGAAAGATCACAAACAAAGAAAATTATAGGCCAATATCACTAATGAACATAGATGCAAAAATTCTCAACAAGATACCAGCAAACTGACTCCAACAATACATTAAAAGGATCACACACCATAATAAAGTAGGATTTAATGCAGAGATACAAGGAGTTTTCAATATCTGCAAATCAGTCAATGTGATACACCACATTAACAAATTGAAGATAAAAACCATATGAACACCTCAACAGATTCAGAAAAAACTTTTTATAAAATTCAATATCCATTTGTGATTTTTAAAAAACCCTTCAGAAAGTGGGCATAGAGGGAACCTACCTAACCATAACAAAGGCCATATATAACAAAACCATAGCTAACATCATGTTCAATGTAAAAGCTGAAATATTTCCTCTAAGATCAGGAAAAAGACAAGGATGCTCACTCTCACCACTCTTATTCAACATAGTTTTGGATGTCCTATTCATGGCAATCAGAAAAGAAAAAGAAAAGGAATCCAGGGACTTCTCTGGTGGTCCAGTGGCTGAGACTCTGTGCTCCCAATGCAAGGGGCCTGGGTTCAATCCCTGGTCAGGGAACTAGATCCCACATGTTACAACTAAGAGCTTGCATGCTACCATTCAAAAGATATCACATTATGCAACTAAGACCCAGTGCAGCCAAATAAATAAAAATAAGTATTTTTTTTAAAAGGAATCAGATTTAAAAAAAATAAAATTGTCACTGTTTGTATATGACATGATGCTACACATAGAAAACCCTAAAGAAACTACCAGAAAACTACTAGAGCTCACCAGTAAATGTGATAAAGCTGCAAGATACAAAATTAATATATAGAAATCTATTGCATTTCTGTACACTAACAAGGAAATATCAGAAACAATTAAGGAAACAATTTCATTTACCATTGCATTAAAAAGAATAAAATACCTAGGAATAAACCTACCTAAGAAGGCAAAAGATCTCTACTCTGAAAACTATAGGACACTAATGAAAGAAACTGAAGATGACACAAACAAATGGAAAGATATACGTGTTCCTGAAATGGAAGAATTCATATTGTTAAAATGACCATACTACCCAATGGAAACTACAGATTCAATGCAATCCCTATTACATTACCAATGGCATTTTCACAGAATTAGAACAAAATAATTTTTAATTTGGATGAAAACACAAAAGACCCTGAATAGCCAAAATAATCTTGAGAGAGAAGAACAGAGCTGGAGAAATCACACTGTCTGGCTTCAGACAATATTACAAAGCTACTATAATCAAAACTGTCTGACACTGACACAGAAATGGACATATAGATCAACTGAACAGGACAGTCCAGCAGTAAACCCATACACTTATGGCCAATTAATCTAAGAAAAGTAGGTGAGAATACACAATGGAGAAAAGTCAGCCTCTTCAGTAAATGGTTCTGAGAAAAACTGGACAGCTACATGTAAAAGAATGAAATTAGAACATTCTCCAATACCATATATAAAAATAAACTCAAATTGATTAAAGACCTAAATGTAAGACTGGATAAAACTTCTAGAGGAAAATATAGGCAGAAGACTCTGACATACATTGCAACGAGATGTTTTGGGAACAGAAATAAACAGTATCTAACTAAGCCTAAAAGCTTTAGCACAACAAAGGAAAACATAAACAAAACAACCTACAAAGTGGGAGAAAATATTTCTAAATGATGCTACAACAAATGATTAGTTTCCAAAATATACCAACAGCTCATACAGCTTAATATCAAACAAACAAACAACCCAATTTAAAAATGGCCAGAAGACCTAAACATTTCTCCAAGAAGACATACAGATGGCCCACAGGCACATGAAAAGATGTTTAATATCACTAATTATTACAGAAATGCAAATCAAAACTACAGTGAGGTATCATCTCACATCAGAATGGCCATTATTAACAAGCATACAAATAATAAATGCTGGAGAGAGTGTGAAGAAAAAGAAACTCTCCTACACTCTTAGTGGGAATGAAAATTGGTGCAACCACTGTTTATTCTATAGAGAGAGAAAAGAAAAGAGGAAAGAGCTCATGACAAATGATAAACCCAAGAAGATATTTTGGGGACTTCAGTGATAGCTCAGTGGTAAAGAATCTGCCAGGCAATGCAGGGGACATGGGTTCAACTCCTGGTCCAGGAAGATCCCACACGCCATGGGACAATAAGCCCGTGCACCACAATTATGGAGCCCCCAGGCCACAACGACTGAAGGCCCTGTCCCCAGAGCCCGGGCTTCGCAACAAGAGACACCGCTGCAATGAGAAGCCCTCACACTGCAACTAGAGGAGCCCCACTCACTGCAACTGGAGAAGGCCCTCGCGCAGCAATGAAGACCCAGCACAACCACAATAAATAAATATTTTTTAAAATGATATTTTTGGAAGCTAGGAAAAATATATCATATTTAAAAGACTTTATAATTAGCAGGGCAACAGTATAGTTATTAATCCATCAACAAATGTAGATTCAGGGAAGTGACAAAGTATTGTAGGCACTTCAAGTGAGGCACTTGAGAGATACAAAGTATTCCCATAACATTCAATCAAATGTTAAACAGTATATAAATGAGGTAAGATGTAGAAAAGAATGGTGTTAACTGTGAAGCATACACAAATGTAAGCAATCATTACATATTCCCAACACCAGGGAATGGCTACCCTAAAGACTCCCATCCAAAAGAAACCCTGGGATTCTCAGAGGAGATACCACAAGGTTAAAATCAGGGTAAAGAGGGGGGAAATGGGGAAAAAAATCATTCTTTACTGATTATATTTATTGTAGTAGTAAATAAATGATTCATAACAAATTATCTAGCACCCAACATATGTACCAGCACTGGAAAAGGTGCTGAGAATGCTACAAAAATGGACAGAACAAGAACTTAAATAACTCAGGGATTTATGGTCACGTAGAAGAGACAGAACATAAATGAACAATCAGGCATTAAATAAACTGCGGCTTTACTGGCCCAAAGGACCTAGTGGACCTAGTTTACAAGCAATCTTTTGACGGATAAGAATAAGCTCAAATAAAAAGAGAAACCTAAAACCAAAGATGAGACAACCTGGCCCTTCTTTACCTACCCAGAATGCCAAGTTTGGAGTTGCCCAGCGAATGCGAGCAGGAAGGTCATTCTCTTTGGGCATTTTATGCAGTTTGAATGAAGGAGTGTTGAGTGAATCTCCAAGTCAGAACGCCAGGAACGGCATTCAGGACAATTGCTTAGGGCTGTCCAAATTGTCAGGGTAAAGAAGAATCAGGTGTCCCTGCTCACTGCTCTGAGATGCAGAGCGCACCTGCGGCTTCCGAGACCGCCTCCTCCCCGCAGCCCGCCTAAGAGCCACCGCCTGCAGGGCTTGGAGCTGCCCCTACCCAACAAAAGACAACCCGGGCTAGAGATCCCTCCTGAGGCTTGTCTTTCGTCCGCTGCGTTCCCGGCCAGGTCCCACAGTCTCGACGCCCACCTGGCCCAGGTGTCGACAACTCAGGAGAGAGGTCTGGAGCGGCCCTTACCGTATAAGAAATCATACGTTCGACTGGCAGAGACGTTGCCCCAGGCCCCCGACTTCCCTCCGAACCGGGTTTGAGACACCTGAGGTTTGGCCTGGGGTTCTTCGATAGTCACTACGTGACTCATGGTGCCGGCTCTTCCCTACCGCCAGCCAGGTCCAACTAGGAAAACCTAGCTTCTGCGTGCACCGTTGCTATGGTAACCCCCGCAGAGACCAGAGAGCATGCGCCAGGCGAAGATAGGTCGCTAGTCCAGGAGAGAGGGGCGGGACTAGCGTGAGAGAGGCGGAGTCAAGTGACGACAGGAAAGGGCGGGGCGAGGAGCAGAAGCGGAAGGACGGGGAAGTGCGCAGAGCGGGGAGCGTGAGGCGGGGGAAGAGGAGGGAAGAAAGGAGAAAAGGAGGGGCTGGCCTAGGGAGGGGAGGGCAAGGGGAGAAGGGCGGGGCGGGTGTAGAGAAGGACGAGGGGCTCGGGGGAGAGAAAGGCGAGGAAGGGGAGAGAAGGGCGGGGTCGGAGAGGGACTGCCTCACTTCCCCCTGGCGCTCCGGTGATAAAAGTCACGAGCATTTAGCGGTCCACCCACGGTCAACGCCAGGGGGCGCAGACTGGGGGAAAGGTTGCTGCTGAAATCCTTGCAGCCATTTGCCAGTCACGCTCTTGTAGCCTCTTTCGGAAATCCCTGGAAATCTTAGAGCCTTCTAGAATAGTTGGGGACTTCATTTCGGACATCCCCTTTCCGCGGGGCTTGTTCGAACTGAAGAATCTAAGCTCCATAAACATCAGCCTTTGGCACAGCCCCTGGTCCTGGATATCAACGTTTGTGGTGGACTGGGTAATTAGTAGATGTTCATGCGCATTCTGCTATCCCTTTCTGTGTGTATCTGTAAGCTGCTCAGTCGTGTTCAACCCTGCCATCCCATGGCCTGTGGCCCTCCAGGCTCATCTCTCCATGGGATTTTCCAGGCAGGAATACTGGAGTGGGTTGCCATTTCCTTCTCCAGGGGATCTTCCCCACCCAGAAATGGAACCTTGGTCTCCTGCATTGCAGGCAGATTCTGCATTTCAAACTGATAGGGATTTTTTCACTTTAGTTATCAAATTTCAGAGAAATTGGTGCTGCCCTAGCAACCACCAGTGTTAACCAAAAAGATTTTGTTTGCCTAGTGTCACTGAATGAGTGCATTTTACATATCAGATTCTTTTAGTCTGTTACGATCATTATACTTTGTGATGTTTGAATTATCCCATTTGGCTAGTGACACACGTTAGAGTTAGCTTCTTGTCTTTTTCATTCACTTCAGCAAGCCTCCTGCCTTCTATTTTTTTCACACATATTCTTGGTTTTATTTTACTCTACTCCTGAACTTCTTGGGTTTTTTGCCAATCAGCCATGTATTTTGCCAGTTCCAAGTCTTTGCTCAAACTGATTGAGTTGCCTAAAATGCCTTTTGCTATTTATACCCCTCAACTAATTTAGGTATCCTTAAAGACTTAGTGCTAATTTTGCCACCTTTATGTAGTCTCCCGAGTTCTGCAAGTAGAACCAGACTTCTTTATTCCAGTGCTGTTATGTAGCACCAGTGGCATTGACCACTTTGTGTTAGTAATTGTTTGTAACTTTGCTCCCGGCAACTGTGAGTTCATTGAGGGCACAGGCCTTCACATGGTCATTTTGTATCTCTGAAGTACTTAGTTCAGTTCAGTCCTCAGCTGTATCCGACTCTTTGTGACCCCATGAACCACAGCACACCAGGCCTCCCTGTCCATCACCAACTCCGGAGTCCACCCAAACCCATGTCCATTGAGTTGGTGATGCCATCCAACCATCTCATCCTCTGTCGTCCCCTTCTCCCCTTGCCCTCAATCTTTCCCAGCATCAGGGTCTTTTCAAATGAGTCAGCTCTTCGCATCAGATAGCCAAAGTATTGGAGCTTCAGCATCAGTCCTTCCAATGAACACCCAGGACTGATCTCCTTTAGGATGGACTGGTTGGATCTCCTTGCAGTCCAAAGGACTCTCAAGAGTCTTCTCCAATACCACAGTTCAAAAGCATCAATTCTTCGGTGTCAGCTTTGTTTATAGTAAAACTCACATCCATACATGATCACTGGAAAAACCATAGCCTTGACTAGATGGACCTTTGTTGACAAAGTAATGTCTCTGCTTTTCAATATGCTGTCTAGTTTGGTCGTAACTTTCTTTCCAAGGAGTAAGCGTCTTTAATTTCATGGCTGTAGTCACCATCTGCAGTGATTTTGGCGCCCAGAAAAATAAAGTCAGCCACTGTTTCCACTGTTTCCCCATCTATTTGCCATGAAGTGATGGAACCGGATGCCATGATCTTAGTTTTCTGAATGTTGAGCTTTAAGCCAACTTTTTCACTCTCCTCTTTCACTTTCATCAAGAGGCTCTTTAGATCTTCTTCACTTTCTGTGTAAGAGTGGTGTCATCTGCATATCTGAGGTTACTGATATTTCTCCCGGCAATCTTGGTTCCAGTTTGTGCTTCTTCCAGCCCAGTGTTTCTCATGATGTACTCTGCATATAAGTTAAATAAGCAGGGTGATAATATACAGCCTTGACATATTCCTTTTCCTATTTGGAACCAGTCTGTTGTTCCATGTCCAGTTCTAACTGTTGCTTCCTGACTTGCATACAGAAGCAGGTCAGGTGGTCTGGTATTCCCATCTCTTTCAGAATTTTCCAGTTTGTTGTGATCCACACAGTCAAAGGCTTTGGCATAGTCAATAACGCAGAAATAGATGTTTTTCTGGAACTCTCTTGCCTTTTCAGTGATCCAGCAGATGTTGGCAATTTGATCTCTGGTTCCCCTGCCTTTTCTAAAACCAGTTTGAACATCTGGAAGTTCACGGTACTGCTGAAGCCTGGCTTGGAGAATTGTAAGCATTACTTTACTAGCATGTGAGATGAGTGCAATTGTGTGGTAGTTTGAGTGTACTTTGGCACCTAGTACGTGAAAGCTTAGTCAGATATTTCCTAAATGAATAAATCTACCCATTTATTATATAAATTTACTGGATTGTAAAGAAGGCTGAACACTGAAGAATTGATTCTTTTGAATTGTGGTGCTGGAAAAGATTCTTTTGAGAGTCCCTTGAACTGCAAGATCAAACCAGGCTATCCTAAGGGAAATCAACCCTGCATACTCATTGGAAGGACTGATTCTGAAGCTGAAGCTCCAATACTTTGGCCACCTGATGCTGGGAAAGAATGAAGGCAAAAGGAGAAGAGGGCAGCAGAGGATGTGATGATTGGATGGTATCACCAATTCAATGGACATGAACTTGGACAAACTCCAAGAGATGGTGAGGGACAGGGAGGCCTGGCATGTTGCAGTCCACAGGATCACAAAGAATCGGACATGACTTAGTGACTGAATAACAACAACACTGTCTACTATCAAATAGATATTGAAGATCTAAGATACTGGTACAACTCACTGTATGATGGGAAAAAAACAGATTAAAAAAACATGTAAAATACGGTCTTATAATGGCATGATATTTTTCTATCTCTGGGGACAGCTACACTTTCCACTTTCTGTTCCTTTTCTCCAAAATGCTCCTCACCACTATCTTATCCCTATTGAGTCCTCATCATCTGTGGTCTCAGCTAGAATGATGTCCCCTCCTCAGAAAGACTTTTCATCTCTCAGATAAATTATCTGAAGTAGCCAACAGCCAGCCCCCTTGATAAACATATTGGAAGACACTAACCAATAGAATATGTCAAATATTATGGTTTATATATTATATTAATATATTATATATTAAACGTGATTGTTCTACATACACCACAATGGTCATTTTGCTGTAGTTGCTCAACCTCTCCCTTGCTGGATTTGGGGAAGCAGGTGGCCCTATTTGAAAACCCCAAATGGCAAGGAACCACAGGTAGCTTCTCAGAAATGAGGGTGGCCTCTGACCACAGCAAGGAAGAAATCAAATTCTTCAGTCCTATAACTGAAAGAAACTTAATTCTGCCAACAACCTGAATGAGATTAAAAGCATGTTTTTCTCCAGTAGAATTTCAGATGACACCACAGTCTCAGGCAAAATTCTCATTGCATTTTATGAGACCCCAATCAGAGGAGTCACTTAAGCCATTCCCAGGTGCCTAAGTGCAGAAACTGTGAGATAGCACAAACCAACACAATTGTGGAAAGCAATTATCCTTCAATTAAAAAATAAATTAAAAATTTTTTGAAGAATTCAATTACCTTAAAAAAATACATGTGTGTTACAACTAAGTCTGTGGTAACAATGTTGCACAGCAAAAAATGACTAATGTGCAATCTTAATGAAATTAGGTTGGAGAGGGGTGCTCCTTAATAACAGCTTCATTAAAATCAAAATTATACCATGCACATACACCATGCACATTTGGGAGACAGTTCTCCATGAGTCTCTTGCTTCTGCTTGTCTTGCAAGGGGGTAGCTGTCTGCCTCTTCCTTTGTGTAGGAAGTAACCTTGGACAATAGAGGTAGTGTCTGTCTCTGGAGCAAGGGGCAGGTTTGCTTGCTGCCTTAGAAATCAGAGATCATGTCTCCCTTTGAGCAAATGGCAATCTTTCTCACTGCCCATTATCAAAGATTTGAATTTCCTAAGGTTCATTTCCTGTGTTGTAACACCTGTGATGTCACCTGGCCTTCTGTGGGAATTGGGGCTCAGGGAGGGGTTGCAAAAATGCTGATTCTTGCCATTTCTGCTATAAGTAATAAATGATCCTTCATCTCTGACTCAAGAGTTTGCCGGTTTCTACCAGCATTCATGAAATTGTGGCAGACACAGTAAATCTCAGACCCTTCAGAGTTCCTAAAAAGCTATTGAGAATTTATGTACAGCATGTATTTATTGTGGCAATTGGAAAGCATATTTTTTTCCTCGGTGGGCAGAAATGTAAATACTATACAAAGTTTACCCTGAACCTGTTTTTAATAGTGAAACTTGAGAATTCAAGCCTTGTAATTCCTCTCTCTCAGCATATGGTGTCACTCCTTCTCTACCAACCTCAACTACCCACGCTTACTCAATAGTCTCCACACCTGGGGTTAGTTAGGCTTGAAAAATGGCTAATACCTTTATCATGGGAGAGATTTTAGAAAGT